AGGAGGAGGGGGAGGAGGAGGGCGCCCCCGGAGCCCACCACTCCCCACCCCCCCGCGCCAGTTCCTTGGAAGGCGACCTCGGAACCCTGGACCCCAGATTGCCCCCAGGTGGCCAGCCCCACGACAGCGCCCCCAAGTGCCTTAAATTGGTGACAGCGCCCCCAGAACCTGGCTGGTGATCCCTGGACCAGGGACGGCTTCTGTCCCCCAGCCCCGGCTGCACCCTGGTCCCTGCGCTGGGTGCATGGGACTTACCCAGTTTATCTTGAGAATCTGGAAAGCTGTAGACAGCGCGAGAAGAAAGTTTCAGGTTCAGCAGGGACCCAGGAAGATGTCTTAGAGAAAGTGACATCGGAGCCGGACCTTAGACTTGAACAAGAAGCCAACCGGGCGGCCGGACTTAGAGACGAAGGGCTCCGGCTCCCACGGTGTCTGGAAGGACGCTGTCCTTGAATTGTCCTTGAATCGCTGGTGTGGCGGAGATTGGGAGACCGAGATTTGTTTCTCTTGTCCAGTGTGGAGGGCCCAGCTTTGGGGACCACAGCTAAGGGGGTGCAGATGGGTCCCCACCAATAGGTGGGTAGAGGTGGCCTGTGTCCCCTTGTGGAGCGTGGTCCCCAGGGCAGCAGTAGCATTACTTGGCAACTAGGTGGAGAGGCACCTTCTCAGCCCCGCCCAGACCCGCAGGCCTGGGAACTCTGGGAGGGAACCCGTGGTCTGTATTTAACCAGCCCTGCAGGGAATTCGGATGCAGGGAAAGCACAAACCACAGCTGAGGGGAGCCATCAGAAGAAAAGCTACCTGCTGACCAGGCTCTGGGAACAAGAACGTCAGTTGACTTTTAACCGCTGACTATTCAGTGGCTCCTTAGAGCAGCCGGTTGGATCCGCATTAAGAGACTGGGTTTGATGCAAGCTCTGTCCCACCAGCCTTCCTCGGCAACAGTGGGACTGACACAGGCCGCCCTCTGAAGCCCTGGAGGGAAACCTGGGCCGGACAGCAGGGTCAGAAGACCGGGAGGGAGTGGCCAGAGCGAGGCAGAGACTCTGGACCACTGGGCCCTGGAATGAGGACAAAGAACTAGATCCAAACACAATGACTCTCTTCACTCTAATTCTTTTTATGCTTAAAACTTTAAGTCAAAACCACAACACTGTCTTTTTTAAATAAGCAAGTATTAGGATCTATCGATAAAGAATTGCGGAAGATCAAAAACACTATCATTTCAAAAGCTTCCTTTACTTCAGAGAATAAAACTCACAAAATATAAAGTCTGCTAGTCTGTTTGCATCAAAAACCCCAATCTGCTCAGCAATGGACAAGTATGATGGTGCTCATTTTATTAAACAAATGTGTGTGCCATTGACTGGAGGCATCTTTTAACAAAATCAATGTCTTTCGGATTCTATTGAAGTAACAATATACCTTCAGCATATAAATGTCAGCTAGTGGGTGCCTGGCTGGTGTGGCTCAGTGGTTGAGCACCGACCTATGAACCTGGAGGTCACAGTTCGATTCCAAGTCAGGGCGCATGCCCAGGTTGCAGGCTTGATCCCCAGTAAGGAGCGTGCAGGAGGCAGCAGATCAGTGATTCTCTCTCTCTTCTCCCTTCCTCTCTGAAGCCAATAAAAATATGTATATATGTATACTTAAATGTCGGCTAGTGGGAAATCAGCCGTTCCCACATCAGCAGTTATCCAGAGAGCATTCATATTTTGCATCATAAGACTGATTAGAGACTAATCCTTTGTGTTTTCATGAATAAGAAACAGAATGCTAAAAATTTATAATTCTAAACAATTCCCAAAGATACTTCTGTTAAAAAAAAAGCAAAATACTGAAATCAATGTTAAAATTAAACATAATGAATAGTTTCTTAAATATGCAACCTGAATGGCCTGTGTAAAGTATGACTACCTTATGAGACAAAAAGCTTCAATCTCATCATTTATATTCATCATCAATATGTAAATCATGTACATCTACATTAGCCCACAAAGTCCAGGACAGCAGAGCTTCAGAACACACAAGACATTCTCCAAACATTTATTCGACTGACGTCAGAAATCTCGGCACTCCTTCCTGTCTCAACACAACATGGGGTGAGCCTGGATGTGGCCACCAGGGCACTGAGGGAGGGGGTTCCGAGACCAGGTTGACCCAGGAGGCTGACGTGGCAGAGGCTGGCACTCACAGGTGGATCCACATGGGGTGCAGGAACTTCTCCCCACCACAGACAACCGAGTCCCGTGGAAATCACACCACAGCAGGGTGGCACCTCGCTCACTCTCTCTGGACAATCACCAAGCTGACTGGTTTGACAGTATCAGGCGAGAGCCTGAAACCACTGGGTCTAACAGTGTCCAGCGCTGATGGCGTCTCTTCCTCGGTAGAACTTCTCCGAGACGTCCATGCGGCACCTGTTCTCCTGGGCAGGCCAGCTGGCCCCGGAGCTGGATGGTTTCAGCCTCCCTCCCAGCAGGTGTAGGCAGGGCCGGGGCCAGGGACTGGAGCACCAGGCAGGACACTTTCGGGGACTCCAGTCTCACTTCTACTCTCTGTTGTGTGGCTCCACAGAGCTAGTGGGTCCCAACGGGAATGTGAGGGGAGGGCACTGAGGGGAGGGAGATGGGAGGAGAGGCCTCGAGGGAGACTCAGAAACAGGAGGGAGCAAGCCTGTGGTCACAAGGTCACCAAGACGCCCAGGGACAGCACCAGACACAGGGGCAGGGTGGGGAGGACTGCTGAGTCTTGAGAAGAAGCCTGGCTCATCTGATCAATGACCCAGTCCTTGAAGAAACTAACTTCTGTGTAAACTCCAGGATATCCTTTGCGGCCACAGCCGATGCCCCAGCTCACAATCCCCACCTGGACCCAGGTGTTATTAAATTCACAGACCAGGGGGCCCCCAGAATCTCCCTGGAGAGAGAGAGAGAGAAAGAGAGACAAATGGAGGAATGAAAGACCAACATCAGAGCCGGCTGGCTGCCCGCAAGCACTGGACACACGTGGGGCGCCCCCAGCCCAGGTTTCTGAGAGATTTACAAGTTGAAAATTTGTAAACATACTCAAAAACTGTGGCCAGAAAATACTGACTATAAACAGAGAAAATGTACATACTCTGAGACAACAATAACGATTAAAGCCCTTACCTAATGCATTGCCTGTCACACAGAAGGGGCTCACAACATGTGACCCGTCTTACTGGTGTGTCCTGCCTGGACCCCCCTCCTCCCCGCCCCCCTCCAGGCAGCATCCTCCCCTCTTTCCTGAAAGGCTGGGTCAGGGTCAGGCCAGCCGGGCAAAGCCCCTGCAGCGTGTCCCGCTGAACCCCCTTCATTTGAATGGAGAGTGAATGGAGGGGCTGGCAGGCGATGCAGGTCCTACTGCCTGTGATGAAGAACCCCAGGGGACAACCCCAGGGCCGAGGCAGCAAAGGGTCGTGGACTGACCTGGCAGGAATCCTTTCCGAGATCGGTGTAACCACAGACACACCCTTCCCTGACTACGTCAAACCTGGTTCCCAACTTTTTCTTGAGGATCTCATTACACTTCTCATGGCGAATGATTTTTAGCTCAGCCTCCTGGAGCAATTCGGGGGCTGCCTCCTTAGGGTCTGGAAAGATAGTATCGGACAAGGGGGTCCGCTTAGTGGCACCCACTCTGGGCTCCACAGAGTGTGTTCACACACAGACACCCTCTTAGGGCAGTGGCTATTGTCCCCACTGGACATTGCAGAAAAGGTGACCCAAAGGTGACATGGGGAGAGGAGGCGGTAAGCATCAAAACCAAGACAGGAGAAGGAAGGGCCGATCAGGACCGGAAGAGGCGAGGCCTCACCAGCCTGAGAAATCAAGCCAAGCACCTGTCACCCCGAGTGCCATTAGGAATCGCGACAGGTGTCCTAGACATCAGGACTTCCTTTCACTTGGAGCAGGTTCACAGACTTGCATCAGGAAGTGCCCCGCAGGTACCAAATCCAGCTCTCCCAGGGGCAGGAGGCCCTGCAATGTCACTGAGAGGCATCTCTACGGCCTCTTCTCACCGAAAACTCCCCAAGCACCGAGGCAAGTACTTCCAGTTGGGGGCGGCTCCGGTTAGCAGCCAAAACCCACCTGAGCTAAAACCCACCTTGCTTGTCACCCAAGGTCCTGACCTATTAATAGAAATGTGCAACCCCATCAACGTACCCTCCTCCCTTTCCCTCTGGCTAGAGAACTGCCTCCCTGGTCTCCCTTTGGCTTCAACCCCAGGGCACCTCTCCCCGGGCCTGGATTTGCTTCACAGTCTCACCTTTTTCGTGTAGTTTTCCCCACCCAGTCACCCAGCAGTCGGTATCCGTTTGCACCATGAAAGTCTTCTCGGGGAAGCACACCGGCTGGATGTGGGTGGAGTAATTCACAGGGAACTCGAGCAGGACCAGCGCGATGTCGTTCTCGATCGTCTTGAACGTGCTGTAATCCTGGTGGATGACGATGTCTCGCACCGGGACTCGGACTGCCATTTTGGACGCGTGATGCACGTGGATGCCTCCTACCTTCGCCGTGTAATCCAGGTGGCTGCAGAGAGGTCCTGGATGGGTTCTCCCCAGCCCCATCCTATCTCCAACGCCAGCCATCAGCCACTTCCCTCCCTCCACACCGCATCCCCCCGCCCCCCCAGCCACTCCATCCAGGGGTTCTCAAAGTCTGGTCCTCGGATGAGCAGCATCAATATCACGTGGGAACGTGTCAGAAATGCAAAGTCCCGAATCACAACTTCTCGGGTTGGGGACAGGCCATCTGTATTTAACAAGCTCTGCAGGCCTTTCTGGGCTCATTAGAGTTCAGACCACTGATCTAGCCAAATGGGTCTACTCCACCCCTCCTCCCCCGTAAGCACCCCCCCCCCAGGGGAGTCTCTGCCCAGGACTGCCCCCCACTGGCGTCTTCCCCTTCTGGCCGCGGTGAAGGCTGACCAGCACTGGCTTCAAGCAGCGGCTTTGAACCTGGTTTTGGATCTGGACGGTCCAGGCTCCCAAGGGCCCTAGCCCCACCTGCCTCTGACCACAACCTGAAGAGAAAGCCCGGGGAGGGGCCAGCGCTGGCCGGAGCCTGGAACACTCACCCGTAGATGCAGTGGGCGGCGGTCAACACCCAGCGGTTGGCAATGAGGGAGCCCCCGCACACGTGCTCGTCCTTGATCTGCAGGCTCACCTGCCAGGGCCACTGCCCCTCCGCCGCCGGCCTCCCGCCCACGATCCGCATGGTCTGGTGGCCGCAGCCTGGAGCAGGCGAGGAGGGCGCACTGAAGGGCCACGCCACCGCCGCCGCCGCCCACCCCGCTCGACCCGGCCCCAGCACCGCTGGTCTCTGTGCGGGGCGGCCCAGCAGCATCACCTGCAGCGACGGGCGGTGTCGGTGTCGGTGTCGGTGTCGGTGTCGGTGTCGGTGGAGCCACCGCCGTTTCCTGGGCATCAGAGCCCCTGGGGTAGACGCCGCCAAATGGGGGGACCCGGGGCCAGGGAGGGCCCCTGGGCGCCTAC